TCACAACAACCATTAACCCTGAAATGCAAAGTTCTATTATGCCATATGTGAAAGTATGGACCCATACAGGAGCTCAAAACACTCAATATACAAATGGAGACCGTTCAAACTTTTGGCTTGGCATTCCATTTGCTGACTCAGAAGACTTTATGGTGGTATTTCAACTGTTGGTACAGTTCAAATACAATATACTGGTGACAGAGACGGTCCAGATGAATTGAAAGCAAAGAAGTTTACAAAACCAATAGCACTTTTCACGGAAGATGCTCTTTTGAAGATTCGTTCGATGAAACCTGCTGGGGCTCCTCAGATTGGCATAACGACAGCTTCCATCGAGCAGATTTTGCAGCAGGCAGTCAGTAAGTTGTTCTTGAACTGACTTCTCTCCGTCAAATATTGACAGTACGCCAGTTTTGACATAAAATTGTAAGATAAACTTTCCTTTAGAAATATCGGTCAGTTTTGTTGTTATATTTTTGTCTGCTTCAAGAACTTTCACCATTTCAGTTATACCAACTTTCTTGCTTTATGGAAATATTTTGGTTCAGCAAATATTGCTATTCTATAACATTTACCATTGTTTGTATAAAGAACTATTCTGTCAATGTATTTGTATTGTTTGTGTGTGTAAACTTTTTCTGCTTCAATTCGAAGAGATACTCGAATACGTCCATCTTTTTATTCTTAGTAAAATGTCATTTCCGAAAAATAGAAGCGTAAGTGTTTCAAAAGGTTTAATGGCGGTGGCAGATGTGAAGTTAAATTCACCAACTCAAACAAACAGTCAAAGTGTTGTTGTCAATGTCAAAGAAAGAGATGTTGAAGTGGGGAAACCATACGAAGACGAAGATGGATAACAATAGTTCCTGTAAAAGAACAACCAACATACCCTGAAGTTAGCAGAGACTTAAGTTCTGTTGCAGATATTCGAAACGACTACCAACAACTTAAAGACAAACTTAAAACTCAGGAGAAGATTTGTCAGCTTTAGGTATAATGTTAAACTTGGTCGAACACAACCCTGTAAAAGTGAACTCATATGTTCATCGCACCTCATGAAGTTTTGAAAGAACTATTGAAACTTTTGACAGAGGCAGACGATATAAACATCAAAGAAATAGAACCCGACATTGCTTGCTGTGGTGTTTCATACAATGTCATTGACAAGATATACGTTATGGAAAGGAGGTGAAACGTTGAACTTAAAATATAGTTTCCCAGACGTCATAAAATATTTGACGACCACAACATTTCATTAAAATTTAGTTGCTAAGTAAATGGCAGAAGATATAATGGTTTATACTATTACGACTAAAAACCCTGAGTCATATAATTCTATAACAACAAACTTACAAAGTCCTCAAGGACGATATTGTAAACTAACCTTAAACACAATGACGACTAAAGCCTGTTTTGCTCTTTTGACACCAGAAGATTTTATTGTTGTGAATGGTAAAAAATACTTCTTTGAAGATACTTACTCAGATATACCCCCCAACAGGTTTTGTTGACTTATTTAATACTTTAAGGACGGATGTAACATGTGCTGCAACTAGAGCAGGTTTCATTATGTTTGGATGTCCGACTGAGTTTAGTATAAACGATATGAGCTATAATACAAAACTTATATCTGGTTTTTACTACCAACAGTTTCCTATAACAGGAAAAGGTGTCATACAAGGTTTGTCTGTTCCATTGACTTTAAGTACACCTATTTTATATATTGTTTCAAACTTAGGTTCAAAGTGCTATTCGAATGTCGACAGAAAACTACTATGACCAAAAGATACTCATGCGTATAAACAACACTTTCTCTGCTGGTTTGCCTATTGTTCATTCGAATGCAGAGTTTCAGCTTTAGTAAACTCAAACACTTTAGCAAACATAAACTAACCTTAGTTGACGCAAACTTTGTTCCTGTAAACTTTTATGTCCTATGTATTTGTCAATGACGGCAGAAAGTTTTCGAATTGGAAGATGCAACTGGTGAAAGTATTGTATTACAAGAACAACTTCAACAACAAATAGCTCAAGAACAACAAATGGAACAAATGCAACAACAAAGTCAAGAATAAAAAAAATATTTTTTTTATTTTTATAAAAATGTACAGAATAGATGTTTCAGATTTTTATGACTTCCAAGCGTTCAGAAATATGTGTCCATTTAGAGACTATAACAAAGCAGTCGAGAATTTGAAACGTTTAGTCATTTATGTTGACTCTGCCCCAGAATGTTATGTCATGAAAGAATGGGATGTTGTCTTTAACAAACCAAGAGCGACAATAGTTTCAGAACAAGAATGTAGACAAAAACTTAAGAAAATAAAAGTCGTACAAGTTGGCATGAAGATGTTAGATGCTTGGGATATCTTATTGTCAAAGTTAGAAGATTTTTCAGTTCGAGGTATAAAGTTCTATACACCATCTCCAAACTTCTATTCTATCTTCACTGGATATAAATACGAACAAGTAGAATGGAAAGAAAATGTTATAGAAGCTTGGTTAGACCATGTCAAAGAAATTATATGCAATGGAAACGAAAGAGTCTATGAGTATATCTTATGTTGGTTTGCAAACATCTTACAACATCCAAGTGCTAAAAATGAAACTGCTCTCATTATAATTGGAAAACAAGGAACAGGTAAGAACACATTCTTTACAGATATCTTATGCAAACTGTTAGAAGGTTATTCGAACCCTAATATGACAAACTTAGAAAACATCTGTGGCAAGTTTAACTCCTCAATAGAGAATATGAAACTTATAGTTTGCAATGAACTTCAAAGTATAGATACAACAAAAGTTTTGAACTCAGATGCTTTGAAGAGTCTTATAACAGACAAAGTTGGAGTTGTTGAAAGAAAGTATAAAGACCAAAGAGTTTGTGAAAATGTTGCAAACTTCATTATGGTTTCAAACAACGCTGTTCCGATGAAGTTAGAAAGTTCTGACAGAAGATATGTAGTTGTCAGAACGTCAGATTCTCATATGCAAGATACAGAATATTTTGACGACTTAGCAGAAACTTTGACACCTAACTTTTACAACCACTTGTTCTCATATTTTATGACATTAGATATTTCAAAGTTCAATCCAAGACAAATTCCACATACCGAAGAAAGACAAACATTGTTAGAAGCAAACAAGAGTGTATATGAACTGTTTATAGATGAGACTAACTTTGAGTGTTTAGATGAAAGGTCTTTGTACGACTCGTATAAACAATATTGTCAAGAGTATGGTTATATGACAGCGTCTAAACGTACATTCTTGGCAAATGTCAAAAGTCTTTTAGATGTTCAGAACGGCGTATATACAAAGAAAAATTTTTCTGAGTAAATTTTATAAAAAATATATATTTTTATTTTATTTGAAATGTACGCTGAGTTTGTTGGAAAAGACCTAGATAACGAAAATAGATATGCGCTATTCTGGTTAGATTGTCCTTATGAAATGTATGAAAAAAAGGCTTTATATGAAGAATATAGAAAATATTGTCATGAAAACGATATAAGACTAAGCTCTAGAGAAAAATTCTATGCTGGTATAAAACATCTTTTCGAAGTTCGGAATGGCAAATATAGAAAGAAATAATTTTTATGAGTAAATTTTAAAAAAAATATTTTTTTATCCGATAGAAAAGATGACGAAATATATTTCAGTCAACAAGTATATGTCAGGAGTTAAAGAAGAACTAGACCCATTCGCTTATTTGAATGTTTACTTCTACAATTTTGAAAAGTCTACATTTGACAAAGTTTGGAACATCGAACCCGTTAAGTTTGCTATTGTGACTAAAAATGGTGCGAAATTTGAAGACTTAGACATAGAAGGTTCGTTAGCAGTCAAAGAAAGTTTTGACAGAAGGTTTTCAAACCTTAAAGAAGGCAAAGCATACAAACTTGTTATACCTTATGAACCAAAGAAAGCAGACGACTATGAATATTATGAGTCTAAGATAGTTGAAGTTCAAGGTAAATTGGGTAAAAAGATTTTAGAGTCTAAGCCAGTGTTTGCTCCTAAAGAGGAAGAGAACATTGACATTGACCCAGAAATGTTCTAAAAATAAAATTTTATTTTTACATGTCAAATTTCTTTTTCTCTGGCTCTGGTTCAGGTTCAGGTTCTTTCTTCTCTTCTACTTTTTTCTCTTTCTTTCCTTTCTTCTTCTTCTTCTCTGGTGGAGTTATGTCAAATTTCTCAGAACCATATTTATGTAAAAGTTCTTTGTCCTTTAATAGCTCTTCTATTCTGTTTCCTATTTCATCTTCAAGAACAGCGCATGTGTCTTCTTTGCATTCTAAGAACTTTTGTTGGACTTCATCTTTCCAATCGGCGTCATCTCTGTCAACAAGTCTGTCATTGACAAACTTAAAGACTTCTCTGCCTAATGTTTTATGGTTCTTGTCATATTCCCAGAAACAGAACTTTAGAACAAATTCACCTTTCTTGTTTACACTATGTAAGATTTTATGGTCGACAGATGTTTTGCTGTCAAAAAGTTTGTCTCGAATATAGATAGCGAAATCGCTAGACATTTTCAAAAAGATAAAAATTTTAATTTTTCTAAAAATATGTTAGAAAAAAAGTTTGCTGACATTGACAAAAAATTTGAGAATGTTTTGAAGAAGAACAAGAGGAAGTTAGAAAATGCTCAGATAAAACCCATACATGACAAGTTCTTATTTGCTCAGAATGGTATAACAGGTCTAATTGCACCACCTGGGTCGGGTAAGACTTTCACTTATCTTAAAATGGCTGCACAACAACAAGAACTAGATGAGAAGAACCCATTCTATGAGTTAGTTGTTATTTGTAGTACTTCTGGTCAATTCGACCAAACCGTCAATTCGTTCAAAGATATTATAAAGAAGTCTAAGTTAGTATGTATAAAAGATACTGAGTTGTTAGATTGGATAAAGAAGTACCAAAGAAGAGTTTTGAAGTACAATGCTATAAATGAGTATATAAATTCTAAGTTTAAAGACCCAAATGAGGAAATGCAGAGAATATTAGAGAAGAAACACTTCAGAAACAAACAGAAAGAGATAGAATACATTTCGAAGAAATTGCAATCTTACGATTGGAAGACTTACCCTCATAGGTGTCTTCTTATCTTAGATGACTTTGCTTCTCATCCTTTGTTAAAGAACAGAGAACAAGACATGTGTCGAATTCTTAAGAAACTTAGGCACTTTAACATCTCAGTTGTCATTTGTGTACAGACAGCAAAGAGTTTAAGTAAGGATGTTAAAAGAATACTTACTGATATCATACTTTTCCCTGGATTGTCCGAAGACGATTTCATGGAACTTATGAAAGAGTCCATGGCAGGTAAGTTTGACAGACATGAACTATGGGAGAAGTACAAAGTCATACAAGACCCTCATACTTCTTTCAGAATTCACATCTACGCGAACAAAGTTCAAATTGTAAAAAGTCAAGCTTGAAAAATGTAAGTGTTTGGTCTTAGTCTGTTGTGGTGCTGCAGCTTTCGGTTCTTCTGGCTTTGGAAGACATTCAGGAAGAGGAACGTGAGACATTCGTTTGTGTCCTGTCGGATGGAAGAGTTCTTCCAGTTGTCAAGAAATTTTTTTCCTGTCGGAAGGAAAAACTTTTTCTGTCGGAAGGAAAAACTTTTTCTGAAGTTCGACCAAAAAGTTCTCAATTTTCGAAAATTTGAATGGTTTACGGACGGACAACAGAAAAAATTTTTCCTGTTGTCAGGAAATTTTTTTCCAGTTGTCAGGAAATTTTTTTCTTGTTGGAAGGAAGGACTCGGAATGCCAGAAGGAAGGACTCGGAATGTCGGAAGGAAGGACTCGGAATGCCAGAAGGATTTGACAAGACAATTTACCTTATAGAGCTACCTGAGCCATCTTTGGTGTCAAGCTTGAAAAATAAACGCTTTACATGTATTTTTCAGCAACTTCGTCAAATAATTTTATAGCACTATCTATCTCATCTACTTCAAACGTTTCTTTACCTTTCGTGGGAGCACCATACATTTTCTCAAACTTTTCAAGTAGTTCTGTTTCAGCAGCTCTCATATCATTTACAAACACAACCTTAACTCTATTGACTGTACTGTCATATCTTTTAGTTATATTATATGTTCTTCCTATCTTATATCTCTTTGTATTGAAGTCCTTCGGTTTCTGAACGATGTAAAGTAAGCCTTCACTGCAACGTTCCGTATCGAACGAACCATATGTTATGAAATTATATCCAACAACCGGGTCAATCCAGAACAAAACTAGTGGTATAAGACTTTTGTCGATGAGATATGCTGTAGTTCCATGAAATCTTACCGATATCAAAAGCTCAGGATTTCTTGTCAAAATTTTCTGAGATGAAGCATTTCTAACCCAGTCCTTTGCTCTCTTTCCGGATGGAGATAAAATGTCTGACAAAGAATATTTTTTGTATTTCTTTGAGTATCTTACGTTTAAATCACCTATTCTAACCACCTTGGTGTCATTGTCTATCTTTTTAACTGTTTCAAACTCAGTGTTTAACATTTGCTGTTCTTACATACAAAATAAAAAAAAATATTTTAAAAAAACTAGCGTTATTTTATTTTTTCTATCTTGTATAAAAGATATGATTTCATAGAGTTTTTTTACGATTTTCATGTGTTTTAGGCGTTCCTCGGTTTTCCGCGGGTCGCAATTTTTTACGATTTTCGTACGGAATCTCTATCCTCGGTTTTCCGAGGGTAGCAAACATATGAGGAAATTCATGAAATTTCATACGGAATTCAGCAAAAATAATGTTTATGTTAGAATGTTAGATCTAACATGTTTTCTAACATGTTTTCTAACATGGTCTAAAACACACAAAACTCATGAAATTTCATACGGAATTCAATAAAAATAATGTTTATGTTAGAATGTTAGATCTAACATGTTTTCTAACATGTTTTCTAACATAACTATTTACAAGCGTTTTACATGGTATATGTTGCGATGGTTCATGACTCTAAACAATTTCGTGGCTTCAATTTCTTCTTTTAGTACATCGAATGTTTTAACGATACCGAAAGTTTCTTTATACTTCTTCTTGACGTCAGATAGAAGGAAATCGTCAGCTGTTGGATAGTTTTTGTTTAGAAATGTCAACATGTCCATTTTATCTTCTGCTGGTTTCTCTGCTTCTTTCTTTAAATCTGCATAGTCGTTTCGCATACGTTCTATCTCTTTGACGGAGTAGTTATATTTCCTCATTGCTGCTTTACATTTTGAACATTGTGGGTTCATTTTAGCATTGTACATTGAAATCTTACCTGCTAGTATGACTAAGGCGTCAATTGCTCTCTTTAACTCAAAAGTTGCGGGTTTTATCTGTTCATTCCATATCTTACCTCTTCTATCTTTATCTCTTATCTGCCATACACATTTTGCAACTAACGAAACAAAGTTGTCGTAGGTCTTAAACTCCCCAGATTTGTATATGTCAGAGATGTTCTTATATACCATATCGCAATCTTTGTCCATGACTTTGTGGTTGCAATGAAATCCAAGAAACTCATAGTTAACCTTTCGTATGAACTTCTTTATTTCTACTGAGTCAGTTGCTTTGACTTCTATTTCGTCAAATTCTGGAATAGTAAGCTTTTGTTGTTGGATTTCAGGAAGTTTAGGTAGATGGTCAATAATGTCCTGCATTTCATAAAGATACTGTTCATTTGTTTCATCTTTCGCAGTGCAATCTAAATCTCCTTGGAGAAGTTCTTGCTTTATCTTCTGGATTTCTGTTTCGAAAGTATATGAAGAAGGAATGAAGCTTTTCATCTCTACTAACATTGAAGTTGGGTTCATGACTAACGAGTTTGGTGCTGTTGTTGCTAACATGTTCTTACAATAAAAATAAAAAATATTTTTTTAAAAAAACCAACTTTATTTTTTATTTCGGGAAAATTCATGAAAATTCAAGAGTTTTAGACCATGTTAGAAAACGTGTTAGAAAACATGTTAGAACTAACATTCTAACATAAATTATATTTTTGGTGTAAATTTCATGAAAATTCAAGAGTTTTAGACCATGTTAGAAAACGTGTTAGAAAACATGTTAGAACTAACATTCTAACATAAACATTATTTTTGGTGTAAATTTCATGAAAATTCAAGAGTTTTAGACCATGTTAGAAAACGTGTTAGAAAACATGTTAGAACTAACATTCTAACATAAATTATATTTTTGGTGTAAATTTCATGAAAATTCAAGAGTTTTAGACCATGTTAGAAAACGTGTTAGAAAACATGTTAGAACTAACATTCTAACATAAACATTATTTTTGGTGTAAATTTCATGATTTTCGAGAGTTTTAGACCATGTTAGAAAACGTGTTAGAAAACATGTTAGAACTAACATTCTAACATAAATTATATTTTTGGTGTAAATTTCATGAAAATTCAAGAGTTTTAGACCATGTTAGAAAACGTGTTAGATCTAACATTCTAACATAAACATTATTTTTGGTGTAAAATTCATGATTTTCGAGAGTTTTAGACCATGTTAGAAAACGTGTTAGAAAACATGTTAGATCTAACATTCTAACATAAACATTATTTTTGTCGAAAAAAAATGGTTCATTTACTCACAATATTTTTGTACAAAACGACCCCAAACTTTTAACTTCTTTTCTGCAGCTTCTAATGTTATCTTAGCGAGTTCATATTCTCTAAATTCTCTCTTTAAATCTTCTTGTTCCCATTGGTCTAGTTCGTATGGAGAATCTCTATAACCAGAACATATCTCACGTTCATGTTCTATTTGTTTTTCATGCATTTTTCTAACTTCTTCTTCGAACAAAGGTTTTGCATTCTCTACTGTATCTTCAAGTTCTTCTTCATCTAATTTCTCATGAACTTTCTTGTCTATGGAGTCCATAATTTTTCCAACTGCTATACAATATTTTGGAGAAGCCCACATTGCTATATAGTTTACGAGTCTTGGGTCTACATACATTCCTCTAACCTGTTTGATTTCATCCGGAATTCCTGCATTAACATTGTATAAAAAGCAACCCGCGGAATTCCGCGGGGTGGTATATTCTTCACAAAATGCCGTATAATACTCTTCCCAGGACTTATTTTCCAACAACCTTCTAAAGTCTTTCCTAAACTGCTGACACATCTTTGTTGCATTTATATAACCATCCTTGTCTCTACGTAAGACTTCAATACCGTTGTAAGTGCCTTTTGTGAATGTTTCGCCATTAGATTTGTTCGTGAACGTTTTTGCTTCGACTGACATTACTGTTCTTACAATAAAAATAAAAAATATTTTTGAGTGGTACGTCGGACATTCGTTTGTGGCTTAACCGTCGGACATTCGTTTGTGGCTTAACCGTCGGACATTCGTTTGTGGCTCGACCTCAAAACAAGCATTTTGTGAAGAATATACCAACCGCCGGAATTCCGACGGTTGCTTTTTTTATACAAAATTCAAGAGTTTTGCGTGTTTTCTACGATGTTGTCAAAATGTCGTGTTGTCAGTAATTTTAAGAGAAGTTCATTTGACCGAGGCACATAGGCACACCTAAAAACCATCTAACCTAAAATATATTTTTTCTGTCTTAAGGAAATTCATGAAAATTCAAGAGGGTAGAAAAGAGGTTAGATATACCCATCTACCCTAAACATTATTTTTCAATACTTTTTCAGCACTTTTCCGTAGTTATATATGAAAGACAATTCGAGATAAAAGTCATAGTACAATGGAATAATATGTTGCACACCATTTGTTGTGAACCAAACTTGAAAGTCAGAGAAACTGTTACTAGGTGGTTCGTAGAATTTAGAAGCAAAGTCATAAAAGTCCTTACCAATACATAGAAAACTATTGTTGCTTGAACTGAAACTTGCATGACACATAACATTTTGAGGGTCAAACACGTTTCTATAAACTGTCAAATCTGCTGGTGGAAGTATAAATTGAAATGGACCATCTGGTGGTAATGGTTCGTTCTGGTTTAGTAACCGAAGAAATTGTGCCCAAGAACGTTTGTCTACTTCCCAAAATAAAAACTCTGTATCTCTTGGAGGGTTAATTTCAATCTTTTGAAATGAAACGGTGGAGTTCATCTTGTCATATTCTAGTTTCAGATAGTATGTTCCATTTAGTAAAGAGTCGTATTTTTCTTGAAATTCCCAATAATATTTGTTCATTTGAGTTTGAAAGTCATTTAGAGTTTTCTCAAGACTTTCGTCTGAACGAACTGTAAAGATTCTCATTTCGTCAAATTTGTCTATTAGACCATCATGACCTTTATACTGCCCATGAAAATATACTGCGAACATAAATGCGTTAGTTCTATTTGAAAACAAAACTCTTCTAAATCCTATTGCCTTTGCATCTGAAGGACTTTGAAGCCAACGAATTGGATAGTCAAACCTGTATGTTCGGGATGAAATTTCTTCATCTGATATTGTCCTACCAGCATTTGTAAAGATATAGTCTAACGGTTTTGTATCTGCTACTTTTGTTCTTTGTTTTTCAACCTGAAGCATTTAATATATGTAAAAATATATTGTTTTAAAATGGTATGCCATATAGCTTCTTGAATTTGTTAAGAAGTATTTGAACGTTTTTTCCATCTGTATCTCTAGTGTTTACATAAGCAAACTCAGCGTACAGTTCAAATAAAATTTAAAAATGTCACTTTTTTGAAAAACGTTTTTACTTCATGCAATGTTTTATTTCTGTGCCGTCTTCAAGTATGCCCCAGTACTTACGCTTGGAGAGGACATGAACTTCGGTGAAAATTTTGTCCAATTTAAAACAGCCCATCTTCTCACCGACCATTCCCATTTCAATGAGTTTGTTGTATCCTTCTTCGTTCGTCATGAGTGCGTCAATGTTCTCATAGTAAACCTTCACTTTGGATTTGACTTCGGAGAAGAATTTGTTGTAGTTGTCAAGGACTGCCTTTGCGAACTGAGGGTAAGACCAATGTTCGACAATAGGTTTTAATGTGGTTACTAAGCCACTTTGACCTTGAGTGAATTCGTACTTCAAAACAAAAGGAGAAAACCTTTCAACAAAGTTGTCGACCTTCTCATAATGTTTACTCTTCATCTCTTGAGGTTTTTTAATGGAATATCCCCATGTCGAATTCATAAGCAATTTGAGTGTCATTGCAAGTTTGGGGTTTGAAGCTTTCCTAATATCATACAGTTGTTGTATGACTTTTCCAACTGTATAGTTCCTTCCCGGGAACTCACCATCTTCGTTTGGAATTCCAGTCGGAATATATTGGACAAACCTCATGTATGCAGCGTTAAGGTCGACATAGTATATCTTTTCATCTGAGTCGAACTTGTTGCAACCAATTGGTCCAGTTTGTGGAAATTCAAGTGAGTCTCTTATCTTCTGAGAAACTTCTCCTGTTATCTCATAAACATCGTCGAAGCAACCTGTTTCATATAAAACCTTCTGACCTAACTCAGATGCTCTCCAATACAATTTGACGTCAATTGGATGTCTCAATGGAAGTTTGTTTATAGCATCTTGAAGTTCTTGCAACCTCATTGGAAGTTCTTCTGGTTCAGGTTGGTATCCGAACAATCCAACTCCTTTTGGAACAGTGTACTTCTTTTGTACTAGAACTTTGTCTGGAACAACTTTTGGTCTTGCTAACAGTGAAAAGTTTGTTTCGTCTTTTGGTACAAAAGTTTCTGTCAGCTTGTCATCTGGAATTGGTTCCAACAAACCTTTCTCGAAAAGAATGTTTACAGCTCTGACAATGTTGCACTTGCCTTTTCCGAACAATGGGTTTGTAAGACTTTCGTTCAACATGAAGTGGTTGTGGACAATTGCAATCTTCAACCATGGTAAGTCTTTGTCAACAACATAGTCGTCATGTGAAGAACCTTTCTCAGTCGGAATGTTGACTCGGATATTCACATTTGCCAACGGTGCAATTTTAGCCAATTGACCTCTGAGAATGTACCTTGTCTTCACACATGACTCAAGATACTTCATCTTCTCATCTGTAACAAGACCAGAGTTCCTGAGACATGTAAGAATACAAGGTTCGTTGACAATTGTTTCAATTGAATTGTAAATTCCATACCTTGTCAAGTCAATGTCAGACTTATTTATGAACGGGAAGTATCCAGCATGTTGTCTGACTGCTTGAGGGTTAGGTTGGTACCATTCGAACTTGACACTTGCAATTCCTTCAATTGCATTCAAAATGTCTGAGTCGGAGTCAACCATTTGTTCTCTCTTTGTAGTCTTGAAAGCGTCAAGAAGCATTGCAGCTGTTGTGACATTGCCATGCGCATAGTATATATGACCGTCCAAATCTGTTATGGTTAGTCTGAGATTGTATCCTTTCTTATTTCCATCTTGTATGGCAGCAAGTACACCCATGAAGCCTTCTTTGTTCTTTCCTTCTTCAAAATTTACTGTAAAGGTTCGACCAGATGTAATTTTACTTCTAACCTCACGATACTTTTCATATGCATATCTTGTTCTTTCCATGGGAGCATGTGCGTCTTCACCTTTTCCTTTTTTCCTTCTCAAGGGATGCAATTGTTCGTCATGTTTCCAGTAGAATCTGGCAAAGCCGTCGTGTCCTTCAACTTGTGGCTCACTAACATCGAAAGGCATGTTCATAAGTCGCTCTTCTTCTAACCTCTCTAATCTGTTTGGATAATTGGCGCGCGCTGTTTCCAAGTCCATTTCGTAGCGAAGACCAGACAATTTGTCATAGACTTTTATGGGTCTTCCCTTCCTATATTTAAACTTCTTTGAAACTTTCCAACCATATCTTTCTAACTCTGCTTTTATTCTAGCAGACCTTCTATCCATTCTATACGGGGGCATTTTTATAAAAATAAAAAAAATATTTTTTTCTCTTTACTTTACATAACCGCCTGCTGCCATAAGTCTTTGACGCCAACCCATACCAGCTAATGAAGGTTGACTTGGTTTAGTTTGGAAACTAAACTTTGGTTTTGGTTTATCTTCAGTTTTTGGTTTCTCTTCTTCTATCGGTTTTTCGTCACTTTTCGGTTCCTCGGGCTTTACCTCACCTGCAGGAACAGTTGTGTTGTCAACATCTTCATAAATATCATATGCCATTTGTTTTTGTTTTCCTTTCAACTTTTTGTGTTTGTTGTAAAGTTTAGAATATTTCGACTCTAAGTCAATGAGATGTTCTATAATGAACTGTTGGTCAGTGAAGTAAACTTTTCCATCTGTTGTCTCGAAAGCTCCTTCAGACTTCAATATTTTATTTGTGAGGGTCTGTTTCTTTTTTGAGATACTAGCCGTTCCATTTCTATGAAAAGTGACTTTATAGTTAGGGTTTGTATTTCCAGACCTGGCACTTTCTATTATTGAATTTTTCTCTTCATCTGTAAGTTCTTTGACAGGTTTTGACAATGGTTCTGAACTTTTTGTTTGTGGTGTCAAATCTACCGTTTCAACTTCTTCGGTCATTTCATCTCAGTAAAAAATTTTAGTTTGGTTTGTTTTCAACTGGTTGTTGTTGTTTTTTAAGTCGGTCTAAAACTTCCTGAGGTATAGGAAGAACTTGACAAACACGTTGTGTAACTGCTGGAAGTCGACAAATCCATCTTGAACCCATTTGTCTCAATGCTGTATTGTTCATTTCATCTCAGTAAAAAAATTTACATTCCCCACGTTTGAGGCGGTTGAGGTTGGTTGTTGTTTACCCATTGTTGTGCATGGTTATATCCTCTGTTAAAGAATCTTTCACCTTGGTCCATATAGTGCCCTGCTTGGTTATAGTAGTCATTTGCTTTGTTATAGTAGTTTCCTGCTTGTCTTCCTACATTATCCATCCATCCTTGAACTTTTCCTCTTGTTTCAGGATTTGGAATAAGATTTGCTGCATCTCGTGCTACATCCCAACCTTTCTGTACAGTTTGTATAATAGGTTGTGCTTTCTCTTTAAGTATACCTAATGTACTCAAAATCTTCCTTCCAACTCCAAATACACCTCTGGCTATTGTTCCCACTGCGGGTAAAAATCTGGATGCAACTCCTGCTAATGCGCCAAATAAACCCATTTCTTATAGGGTAAAAAATGACGAATCCGAACAAGGACCCGTATGTTTCTAAAGCGACAAAGAAAGCACTCATGGTAAAAATCTTTAGTTCAACACCAAATGCTTGGTTTATGGATATCTTGGAAAACATTCCGAGAGTTAGAACAGATGGACCTCCATACTGGTTAATATTTGTTGGTCAAAACACAAGATACTGTGAAGCCATACCATTATGGTCCAAAAATATTTTAGATGTGAAAACTGCTTTGACAATATTCGTTGACAAATACCATCCAACAAAACTGACATCTGACTGTGAAAGTTCTTTCAAATCAGACGATATTAAAAACTATCTGCGTTCAAAAAATGTAAACCAATATTTCATTGTCGACCAAAACCATTCTGCTCTTGGTGTCATTGACGGTTGTATAAAAATGTTAAGAGACTTAAACCAACCACAAGGTGGTGAAGCAAATGAAATGTCATATGACGACAAGTATAGACACTTCTCCATGGCAAAGATGAGACAAGTTTTAAATATTTACAATAGCCGTAAACAAAAAGGTTTGGGAAACCACTCCCCCGAAGAAATGAAAAACAACCCCGACTTAGAGAAAGACTATATATTTAATAGTTTAGTCAAAAGAGACAAACAAGAAAGAATGCCGGGCTTCAAACTTAAGAAAGGTGACAAAGTAAAAATAGAAATACCTAAACGCGACCCATATGAAAATACTATTGACTATGACAACAATGGGAACCCGACAGGTACTCACCTTCGTGTTCGTAAAAAATAGAAGAAAGTATACAAGAGAATATTATGAAGTTTTAGGCAAACATGGCAAAATGTACAGACTGCAAGCAGAAGATAAAACTACTATTGTCAGACCTCGTTTCAAACTTGTTAAGGTTCAAGGTGGTATACTTTCAAAGACAGTTCCTAACAAATATAAGACAACTCCTGACGAATATGCTAAAGAAGTGGAACATGACGACTAAGCAATTCTATACCATGCGTAAACTGTCATGTAAGGTGGCATGTAGTCTTTACTTTGTCCCGTTGTTTGTGTATACCCTGAAACGAAATGTGTATGGTTCCTTCTCCCTGAGTGTCACTCCAGTAACAATCTATAGCAACTTAACGTTGTCTTTAACATCATATCCTTTACCTTTTGTCATTCCTGACCAATCCCAATATCTATGCTTATGCCAACCTGCTTGAGATGTACTTAAATCTATGTAGTGACTGTGTGCAGGTAAGTTTCACCTGAAATCGT